ATAATATAATATAGAATAATATAATATAATATAATATAATATAGAAAAATATAATATAATATAATATAATATAATATAGAATAATATAGAATAATATAATATAATATAGAATAATAAAATATAATATAATATAATATAATATAATATATTATAATGTAATATAATATAGAATAATATAATATAGAATAATAATATAGAGTAATAATATAATATAATATAATATAATATAATATAGAATAATAATATAATATAATATAATATAGTATAATATAATATAATATAGAATAATAATTAATATAATATAATATAATATAATATAATATAATATAATATAATATAATATAATATAATATAATATAATATAATATAGAATAATATAATATAATATAATATCATATAATAATATAATGCAATATAATACAATACAAGAAAATAATTTTTTAAATGTATTTAAATATCAATTTTGTTTGTATTATAGTGTTTTTTCTTTAAAATGTGAGTCCATTTCCGATTTTCAAAGTATTTATGTTTTCCAAATACTCAATGTTTATTTTATTTTATGTATTTCTATTTTCGAAGAAAACAGAAAAGTGAACAAAAAAATTAGTAACCTTAAAATATATATTTGAATAAAAATAAACTGCTCGCTATGCACAGTACTTCAAGTGTTAAAAGCTAAATTACAGTTTTTCCTATAAAATTAATTAATACCTTAACAACCATGCTCATTTTATTGGAATTAAATATCATAATAGTACAGTCCCTCCCTAATGAACACTGTAATTGTAACTTCCCAAGCCTAATTTTTAACCTCATTTTAGCTTTTGTCTGTGGTGGTGTTGTGTTTTTTGTAAGAAGGGATACAGCTGCGGCGGGAGGTTAACAAGAATTATTTCTAATATTTATTAAATTACACATTATATTGTATTTTACAATTAACATATCCCCCCATCCAATCCTAAACCCAAGCCTCACAGTAATGTAAAAACAGAAATTATAATGAGAATAATTTATATTATTTATTAAATTACCCATTAAATGTATTTTATTAATGTCTACCCCAACTTAAACCATCATAGCAATGCAAACAGTAATTACAATGAGAATAATTTATATTATTTATTTATTAAATTACCCATTAAAATGTTTTTTTATTGATGTCTACCCCTAACTCAACCCTCACAGTAATGTAAAAGCTGTTATCATAACGCAAATTATTATATTGTTTTTTTAAATCAACCATTAAATTGTATTTTATTAATGTCTACCCTACCCTAACAGTAATGTAAAAATCTGAATTATTGTTGTACAGTATTGATGGTATATTGATGTGAGTGTTTGCAGCTGTATCCCTTCTAAGCTTTACCAGTTGGGTGATGTGAGTATCCACAGCTGTATCTCTTCTAGACTCCTGTTGTTGTGTCTCCTGCAGTGCATTGCGGGTGGAGTGAATGGACCAGCTGGAGCGCGTGCAGTAGGACGTGTGACGTGGGCATTAGACGCCGCTATCGCTCGGGAACCAATCCAGCGCCAGCATTTGGGGGTCGGGTCTGTGAGGGCGAACGCATCGGGCTGGACACGTGCAGCGTTACACCGTGCTTCGGTACAGAAATCACTTCACATCAGGACACATCTATACAGTTCAAGTCAGATTTTTTCCAACACATTTCTCATTATAATAGTTTTAATAACTCATTTCTAATAACTGATTTATTTTATCTTTGCCATGATGACAGCACATAATATTTCACTAGATATTTTGCAAGACACTAGCACATTGAATGAAAAGAAAACATCAGTGTTTGATGTGTATCCAGGAGTTCAGTGTGTGTGTGCTATTGGATAAACAGTTGAAACCAGAGGTCTACATACACATACCCATTTTTAAAAACAATGTCTGATGGTAAATCATACCAAACATACTATTTTAGGTCTGTTAGGATCACCTAAATGATTTACATTTGCTAAATGCCAGAATAAAGAGAGAATTTTTAAAAATTGTTTATTAATTTCTAGACAGTCAAATGTTTACACACTTTTCCTTGGTATTTTTTTAGCTTTGCTTTTAAACCGTATAACTTTGGTCAAATGTTTTGGGTCTCCTTCCACAAGCTTCTCACAATAATTTGCAGGAGTTTTGGCCCATTCCTCCTGACAGAATTGGTGTAACTGAGTCAGATTTGTTGGCTGTCTTGCTCGCACAAGCTTTTTCAGCTCTGCCCACAAAGTTTCTATAGGATTGAGATCAGGGCTTTGTGATGGCCACTCCGAAACATTCACTCTGTTGTCCTTAAAGCACATTTGAACTAATTTGGCAGTGTGCGTAGGGTCATGGTCTGTTTGGAAGACCCATTTGTGGCCAAGTTTTAATTTGCTGGCTGATGTGTTGAGATGTTGCTTCAGAATTTCTCCATAATGTTCTGTCTTCATGATGCCATCTATGCTGTGAAGTGGACCAGTCCCTCCTGCAGCCCCACAACATGATGCTGCCGCCCCCATACTTCACAGTTGGGATGGTGTTTCTAGGCTTGTGCGCTTTCCCCTTTGTCCTCCAAATGTAACACTGCTCATTATGGCCAAACAGTTCAATCTTAGCTCCATCAGAGCACAGGACATGTCTCCAAACATCTGCCTTTTTCCTAGTATAATTTAGCTAATGGTAATCTGGCTTTGTTGTTGATTCTGGCTTGTTGATTTCCCCATGTTGTCACACAAGGAAGCAGTGTGTTTGAGCTTTTCCCCAAATACTATTCTACAGTTGTGTCTCACATTAACTCAAATGTTGTCAATTAGCCAATCAGAAACTTCCGAAACCTTGACACCATCATCTGAGCTTTTCCAGAGGCAGTATGTGTGTAAACTTGACTTTAGGAAAGGTTAGAACAATTTATCAACAAATATCTCTCATTATTCTGCTATTAAGCAGAACAAAAACACATGTGGTCATACTGACTTACCTAAAACGAGAGAAAGCTTACTCGCATTACAGTTATTCTTGTTTGCTTTGACCTGGTTAAAGAAACTAGGTTCCTCTTCATTTTCATTATCACTATCCCAGCAGAGCAGAAGACCGGTCTTGCAAATATGTAAACTCTTTCTCATTGGTTTGACACATTTTCCCCACCATTTTTCAAAACAGTTAACACAGATGTCATTCAAGCTGTCCAAACTCCATTGTTTTAGCTATGATAACCAAACAGAATCCATCTATTCCTAACTATTAGAAACTACCAACATCAATATGAATTCAGTGAAGCACTGGTTTGACACTACTTTACACAAATCTTCAAAAAGCAATCAGTCTGCAAACCTTATAAAACGGTGGAAGGTCTGTGTTGGTGCCAGCATGGATGGAGGAGGTCAATAATGGCTATGTCTTAATCTCCCAATAGATTTGACTGTATATTGGTTTACATGTGTTTTATCTAATATTTACAGTATTTTATAACTTTTGTCTGTTTTTACAGTATTTCAGTTTTCAGCCACAGTTTGAAAATTGTCATGAATTCAATATATATTCAATCAAAGCACATCTTATTCTGGATTCAATTCTTTGCAAAGAATAGAATAGAAAGACAACAAATGGCATTGGCAATAGGCTACAATGACAAGCAATGGTGGTGCACTGACTTCTGTATTTTGTATTTTGTTGACCATTGTGTAATGATTAATTGAAAGAGCTCATATACTTGTTTGCAAGTTGTGGTGTTCTAAGGTAAAACTAGCTTTTGTTGCATATTTTAAATGTTTTGACACTGTATGTGCCTTTTGCAAGCAAAATGTGTCATTTTGACCACGAGTGCCGCTGTTTAGGCCTGTGTGTTAACTGTTTTGAAAATGTGAAGTTTTAGTTGACAACTACATCCAAGCAATCGAGAAAAACTGTAACATCTGACTTTTTGGTTGTGTGCCTTTTTGTTAAATGTAAACTTCTGCTTTCAACTAGGTGTGTGTCTGTGGTCCTTTACTGACTTGGTAGGTGCAGAAAATAGAGTCAAACAGCCGTGTGTGTGTGTGTGTGTGTGTGTGTGTGTGTGTGTGTGTGTGTGTGTGTGTGTGTGTGTGTGTGTGTGTGTGTGTGTGTGTGTGGGGATTATCCTGTCGCAAAATGCGACGAGAAGTCCTAGATAAGATAGTTCAGTTGTGGTGTTCATATGTCTGCACTGCACTTCAATAATGTGACTAAATAGGCACACTCAACGGGTCTTATTCTGATTCGTGTTTAGTTTGATTATGACTAGTCGGATTAATGTCATCAAAGCTCTGTTCACATGGGAGACTCTTAATCAGAGCATTGTCTTAATCGTATTAAAATCTGAGTATTGGTGTCCGTGTAAAAGTACTCGGTGTGATGTTGTATGTTCAGGAGTGAAGGGGCCGTGGAGCCGCTGGTCTGAGTGTTCGGTGTCCTGCGGCGGAGGCTACAGGAGCAGAACGAGAGGACCAATCAGGAGCCACGGCACACAGCAGCAGTTCAGTGCCTGCAACCTGCAACCCTGCGGTCAGTGTGTGTGTGCGCGTGTGTGTGTGTGTGTGTGTGTGTGTGTGTGTGTGTGTGTGAGATTGCATAAATGTGTGTGCATATAAAAGTGCTTGTGTATCTGTGTGTGTGTCTGTTTGTGCATTTGAGCGTGTGTGTGTGTGTGTGTGTGTGTGTGTGTGTGTGTGTGTGTGTGTGTGTGTGAGAGAGAGAGAGAGAGAGAGAGTGCATGAATGTGTGTATTTGTATGCCTGTATGAGAGTAAATGAAAACGTGTGTGTGAGTATCTGTTTGTGCATGTGTGTGTGAGAAAGAGAGTGCATGTAAGAGTGTGTGTCTGTGTCTATGCTTGTGAGTGCATATGTGTGTTTGGGGGAGTTTTTGTTTGTTTGTCTGTGGATGTTGGTTTGTGTCTGCTTTTATGCATGTATGTGTGTGTGCATGGCGTGTGTGTGTGTGTGTGTGTGTGTGTATTTTTGTGTATGTGCACGTGAATATGTTTTTGACAGTATGTGTGAGTATGTCTATGGATGTGTGTTTGTGTAAGTGTGTGTGTGTGTGTGCGTATGTTTATGTTTGTGTGTGTGTGTAAAGCAGGTCATCATCTCTGTGTATCTATGTAATGTCAGGTAACAGAAGTGGGTGTTCAGGCGGTCAGCAGTGGTCAGTGTGTGTCAGAGAGCAGCTGCTGTGCTCAGATTTGGGGACGGAGGCTCAAAAAGATGCGCACTGCCACCCGGGATGCCAGTGTCCTGAAGGATCTGCTCTACAGGTGTGTGTGTGTGTGCATGCATGTGTGTGTTTCTTTGTATGATTTGTGAATACAAGATTCATTTGATTTATGTGTGTGTGTATTAGGATGGCGAGTGTGTGCCTGTTTCGCTCTGTCACTGTCATGTAAATGGAGAGCAGCACAAACCCAGAGCCACCGTCAACAAAGACTGCAACAACTGGTAAAACAGCAGATTATAAAGTTCAGTTTAGTAATTGCTATTTTAAAGTTGTGAATTTATGCAAGTGTGAATTATTTGCAATGCTAATATATCCTAGAATATCATTTAACCCTTTATCCGGCAGACATTGAGTACATTAAGGGCCCTATCATACAGCCAGCACAATGCGGCTCAAGGCGCGATGCAATTGTTGTTTGCTAGTTTCAGCTCGGCGCAAGAGTCGTTTTGATGTTTTGCGCCACGCTGTTTAAATAGCAAATGCATTTGCGCTCATATGTGCACCCATAGGCGTTCTAGTCTAAAAAAAGGAGGTGTGTTAAGGCGCATTGCTGGCATGTTGCTATTTTGACAAACTTAAATAGACTCAATAGACCACATCAAAGCAGGTCTATTGACCTTATTCTAAAATGCGGAAGTGCGCCAGTTTTCGCGATTGTCTTAGAACTTCCGATTCAGTCGCCTATGGGAGAAATGACTAGGAATAATAAACGGCTGAAAACGGTCAAACTACTTGCTCTACAAACAAATGTTTGCATGACTCTACAGACCAAGTAGAATAATATAATAAGACAATATCCAACATCAAGCAGCGTAATGAGCAGTTTTTAACGTCAAAAAATGAATGGAAGTGAATGAGACCGGAAGTCTCGAGCCAAAAAGATTCAATTGGCAGCGCCCGCTCGTCTGCGGAGAATAAGGTGAATAGTCAAGCGCAGATCACTTTAGTTGTGCGCCTTGTTTAAACATTGCTTAATACACACAGGATGTAAAGCAATACGCAAATGTCTTTACAAATAAAAACATAATTAAAGGAATAAAATATTACAAAAAATATATTATTTTCTAGCCTACATAAATATAAAACCCACTGCTTTCATGCCTTCTTCATCTCGGGGGGCTTTTTTAATTTATTCATGAAAATCTGCTTTTGTGTAATGCTATTGTTAGTCATAGTATTATTTATTATATGCATATTTATATTTGGGGTGACGCAGTGGCGCAGTAGGTAGTGCTGTCGCCTCACAGCAAGAAGGTGGCTGGTTCGATCCTCAGCTCAGTTGACGTTTCTGTGTGGAGTTTGCATGTTCTCCCTGCGTTCGCGTGGGTTTCTTCCGGGTGCTCCGGTTTCCCCCACAGTCCAAAGACATGCGGTGCAGGTGAATTAGGTAGGCTAAATTGTCCGTAGTGTATGAGTGTGTGTATGAATGTGTGTGTGTGTGGATGTTTCCCAGAGATGGGTTGCGGCTGGTGTTCAAAAACGTGCTGGATAAGTTGGCGGTTCATTCTGCTGTGGCGACCCCGGATTAATAAAGGGACTAAGCGGACAAGAAAATGAATGAATAAATATTTATATATTTCTTTTAATTAAAAACAAGGTTAGATTTGCCCACCTGTCAGGTTTTAGACCATATTAGGCACAGCATGTGTATCTAGATATAACTTATTGTTCATTTATTCGTTTGCTGGAAATTAAAACTGAATTTAGAAATAGTTTTGAAACAAATATTTGCACTAAACAAACAAAATTAATCATGTGTAGGCTAATGGATGTCTGTGCGTACAACACGTTTCTCTGTCCACGAGAGTAAGAGTGAAAGTAAATAATGAGGAGGCTCATCTCTCATTCTCGCGCTGTAGATGCTCTGTTTAACTGTTTTCTCTCTAGTGAAGTGTTCAGTTTTTCCACTTACAAAGTCTGTCATGTAAATAGCAAATGTGCTATGGCTCGATGCAACTAACTATTAAAGGGAATGGGATATGAGACTCTGATTGGTTTATTCTCAAAACACACCTGCAACTCATTAAGAGAATAAGCTCAACACTTTTAGACCATGCGCCACGGCGCAATGTGGATTTTTCCGTCCTTAAAATAGCAAAAGTGGATTCTGACACGCCCTAATTGTGTTTGCGCCCTGCGCTTTAGACTTTGCGCATGGATCGTCAAAATAGAGCCCTAAGTGTAAAACTCTTGTAGTGAGCCCCAGTAGACTCTTTTCAATGAGTGCCCTATGAAGGGTTCATTACGAAGTGCAAAAAAACATCTAAAAAAAGTAAATGTTTTAACTCTTAAATCTTTAAAGTGCATAATTTGTGTTATTTTGTATTAATCCTAATAAACATGATTTGTAATTGATCCATAATCTATTGTATTCCTCCAGCACGTGTGAATCAGGAAAGCTGGTCAACTGTACCAGTGTGGATTGTGATGGTAAGACACACGCTTTCTTATTTATAGCTAACATTATCTTCATTATGAGGACAGAATGAAGGATTTTGAAAATATTAAAGTGCAGATTGTTTGCTGTGAGTGGTGGGTTACGGGGTAGGTGGACAGAATATACAGTATGTACTGTAGAAACATCATTACAGCATCATTACTGGGTGTGTGTGTGTGTTTCAGTGGACGGTGGCTGGTCATCTTGGACCCCGTGGGGTGTGTGTTCAGTATCATGTGGTGTGGGTCTTCAGTCTCGGTATCGCTTCTGCTCTGACCCGGAGCCTGCTGGAGCTGGTTTACCATGCACTGGAGCCCATCGAGACGACAGAGTGTGCGCTTCAACACCCTGCAGCCGTGAGTCACACACACATACATATGTACGTATATGCACACACACATAAACACACTACTAGTCAAAGAACAGAGAGTCAAGAAAGATCCAAACCATCCCGTCAATCAATTCCAAAAGGCCATGGTGTGAAAGATTTTATTGCAAACCTTCCAGCCAATCAGAATCAAGGATTTAAACTGTCCATGGAATAAATGAATTTACTGCAAACCTTTCAGCCAATCAGAATCAAGGATTCCAACTGTCCATGAAATAAATGAATTTACTGCAAACCTTTCAGCCAATCAGAATCAAGGATTCCAACTGTCCATAAAATAAATGAATTTATTGCAAACCTTCCAGCCAATCAGAATTAGGAATTTCAACAAGTTATTGAATAAACCAAACCCTCCAGCCAATCAGAACCAAGAATCTCAACAGGCTATTAAAAAAATTAATTTACTGCAAACCTTCCAGCCAATCAGAATCAAGGATTTCAACTGTCCACGGAATAAATGAATTCACTGCAAACCTTCCAGCCAATCAGAATCAAGAATCTCAGCAGCCCATGCAATAAACATTTTTACTCCATACCTGTAGCCATCATCAAGCATTAACTGGCCTGTAGTATAAATCGTTTTGAGGTGACGGGATCAGCAGCGCAGCAGTGAGTTTGTCCGGTGTGGTGTTGTACACACAGGAGACGGTGGCTGGAGCGACTGGTCCTCCTGGACAGACTGCAGCAAGTCGTGTGGTGGAGGAGTGAAGAGTCGCAGAAGAGACTGCGATAGACCAATCAGGACAGCCGATGGGGACCAGTGTGAAGGACTGGACACTGAGGTCACACTCTGTAACACACAGCACTGTGCAGGTGTGTGTGTCTGTGTGTGTGTGTGTGTGTGTTTACATATTTGTGAGGGTAAAAAATGGGGTTAACTTTACACTCTTGTCTACAGTGTCATCTTGTTCACACGTCTCTGGAAGTGTGTTCAGTGCCTGCGGACCCTCATGTCCACGATCATGTGACGACCTCACTGTAAGTCAATCAGTGTGTTGATGAGTTTAATATCTCATGCTTATGTTTGTAGTTTAAAAGAGAGATAGAAAGACAGACAGACGGACGGACGGACGGACAGATGGATGAAGGGAGGGAGGGAGGGATGGATGGATGGATGGATAAATAGATAGATAAATAGATGGATGGATGGATGGATAGATAGATAAATAGTTGGATAGATAGGTAAATAGATGGATGGATGGATGGATGGATGGATAGATAGATAGATAGGTAAATAGATGGATGAATGGATGGATATATAGATA